GATTAAAGGCGTGCGCCACCACTGCCTGGCCAGTTTTTTTTTTTAATTACATTTAAATTTTTATATTTGTGCACCGGTGTAGGGGTGACATATGTGTGCCACAGCTCACATGTGAACCTCAAGGGTTCTGTCCTTCCACCATGTGAGCCCCTTGAACTGATCTCAGGTTATCAAGCTTTGTGGCATTCTCCTTTACCTGTCAGGACATCCCACTTGAACAGACACCAGGTTTGGAAGACGTAAATGATGGGGGCAGCCCTGGCTAAGTCCTTGGGATGTGTTACCTCATTAACCCCAGAACAACACAAGAAGCAGATAGGTGCAATTATGTTCTCTCCTTTGGAAGGCGTGGGGATTAGGCGGCTTGATAGATAATGGGTGCAGGATTCGACTGGACACCCTGACTGAAGAGTTCACACTCTTCACATTACACCAAAGATCGAGCTCCTCAGAAGGGACCAAGAGCTTGATTTCTCAGCTGCACCGACTCACTGCGGAAGTTCTCTGGCATGTAGGGCTCGCTGGCACACACAGGCAGCAACAGTACAGCTGGACTTAGGGAGCTGTAAGAGGGAGGCCCCAGAAGCTCACTGCCACCTCCTCCTCCCCACCTCAGGGTGCCCAGATTCTGACAGCTGGGGAGGAATCCCGTGCCAGGTCTCCTCACACTAATTGGCTTAGGAAGCCATGCTTATCTGGGCAAAGCTGGGGCCCATGAGTTCAAGATTAGGGAGAGCAGGATTCATGGCTTACTGCTTTGCTGCCTACAGGGTCAGAGGAGGCAGAGTTGGGACTTTAATTGGCTTAACAGCCCTTGGTGGCTTAACGGCTCAGAGGGCTGGGGTGGGAGGTAATAAAGATTTGCCGGTGTCCAGGCCACAGCCAGATTCATGCCCTACCAAAGGATCTGTTTGCGGCTCTCCCAGGGACTCAGTCTGTTACTGCTTCAAGGCATTTTCTTAGGATCCATGCCAGGGATGGAGCTGGGTCTGAGGATCAGACAAAGCTGGAGAGGAGCCTCCCCTCCCCCACCCACTCCTGTAACCTCAATCAAGTTCCTTGACCTCTCTGAGCTTTGCTTCCTTGTCTGGTGAATGAATGTATCACTAACCACGGAGGGAAGGTTTTAATACAAGATGCCTGGGACCTCTCACACAGCTCTTGCTACAACATGGCGGGTGTCCATGAGCTCCTTCCTTTTATTTTACCTTCTGACTAAAGGACCTTATCTCTCGGGAAGTGATTGTCCAAGGTTATATAAAGAACACCCAGCCCCAATGTTTCCTTTGGCTGATGCTATTTTTTTTAAGTTGTGTGTGAGTGTGTGGTTGAGTGTGCATGTGTGTGTACCACTGCACAGGTGTGTAGAGGTCAGAGAACAACTTGTTGGGGTCAGTCTCTCCTACCACATGGGTCCTGGAGAGTGAACTCAGGTTATCTGGCAGGCTTGGTGGCAGGTACCTTTACTCACAGAGCCATCTCATTGGCTCTCACTGACATTATTTTTTTTTTATATAAAAATCTTAGAATTGGATTTTCCAATTTCCCATTGCCCTTGAAAAATCAAGACCTGGCAATGTTGGACCCATGATTTCTCAAGGCACCATTAGAGAGTGACTAGGTGGAACCTTTATCTTGTCTAGGACACTTGTTTACCATAATATCCCTTCCCTAGTCTGACACCCCATGCACCCTTGTCTGTGTGACCCCCTCCTGGATTTTGAAGGCACTGTACAGACCTGAAAAGTCAAAATTATCTTTATGAGTGAAATTCAGAACTCGGGTGAAGGATCAGGAAGAAAATGACCAGCATTCTCTCGGGGGTCACCCTGGAGGGCTCAGTTTTCTCTGGTTCCCCCAGCCTCACCGCTCAGAACACCTTCTGGAACACTTCATGTGGTGAAGCATCATGTTGTGCCATCACCATTTAATTTCTAGGCATGCCAGACTGCACGTGTTCTTTCTACTTCCTCTAAATGTTCCTATTTATCCAGGCCCCTGGCAGTTTAAGAATCCAAAGCTTGTGGGACAAGGGGCCACAGAATTCAGTGATAGCAGACCCAGAGTCAGAGCTGTAGCCTGGTTAACGTGGCCTGGTGGGCACGTTTCATTCCCCATAGCCATTTCTACGAGATATTTCCTAATTGACTGCAGAGTCTGAATTTACTGAACAGTCAAGCTGGCAGTAATTGCTTTCTAGTTCTCTATAGACCCCAGCCTGGTGCACGGAACTGAGTACCCAGCAGGTGACCAACTCATTTCAAAACCTATCCAAAGGGCAGGTGTATTAGGAGGCAGAGGAGACAGTACTACAACCTAGATATAGGAAGGGTGTTGGGGGAGGACCCCAAATTGACCTTGATGACCTTAAGCTGTTCTGGGCAGCAGGTGGTCACATGGAACTGTACCGCATCATTATGGATCACAAGAACAATATCACATCTTAGGATCACCACATCAAATTATGCTGTTTCACACACAGGGCAACTAAGGCTCAGAAACGGAAAGAGCCTGGCCCAAGGTCACTCTCAAACCAAGATGCAAATGTAAGTCCTCTGAAAGTACACCCTCCCCAAATCCAGCATTTCCCCACAGTACACAGTTTCCTCATCGCTACCCACTCGGTTTGACTGCCTCCCCCTCTCTTCACATTCTTATCTCCATGAAACAGAAGCCGGACTTTCTATCAGCGTGCAATCTCACAATCTCAGACTCATAATTCTTCAAGCTTTGGGGAACACTTTGGTGGCAGAACTGCAAGGTGGATAAATTGAACTTGGGTTTTGAAGATGCAGAATCTTGAGTTCCAAAGCTCCTGGTTGATCACTATGTGACCTTGGGCAAGGGTGCCCCTCTTTCTCAGCCTCCCTTTCCTCATCTGCCAAGCGAACATTATAATACTAACCACAGGATAGAATTATTAAAGAAGACACAGGATAGAATGAAGGTTTTTTAAAAGGCAATCAGTAGGCTTGGCAGAAATGGTGTGCTTAATAAATTAATTACAATAGCATTGTAAATTAGGGTTTGAGTGCTTAAGTCAATGTTTTTAAAAATGTGATCAAGAGGAAGAATTCAAAAAGTAGGACCATGCAAACCCTAAAATCTGAGATTTTTACAGGCTTGATAGTACTACAGTCAATTTTTTTCCTTTTCCCAGAGAGATTCTGAGTTTTAAAAATACTGTGCAGTGGACACAAATGGCTTCTCCAGGTCAGGCCTCCCAGGTCAGGCTCCCCACTCTTGTATGATTGTTCTCCTTTTCAAGTCATCTTATACCAACTCTCACTTTCCCTCCCAGTGTAGAACAGTGGAAATACTGGAGAGAACTATTTGTACTCAGAACCATGGAGTTCAGTGGACCTCATCCACACCATTCCCAGACACCACCCCTGCCTGTCTGTGGTCAGTTCTTCTCCCTACTGGAGGGAAACTCAGTCTCTGCTCAAGAAAGAAGATTACTATTAGCTTCCTGTATGTGGATTCTCAATGGGGAGGAGGGTGGCCTGTGAGTTGTGGGGCAGCTGGCCCACTTTAGGCTAAAGGGAAAGGGGGGGTGAAGCTTTGGCTACCCAGAATAGGAAGTTACCATTTCAGAATCTAAAAATAACTCACCATCTGTCCACTTGGGCACAGAATGGTAAATGCAGATTAGTTCCTGGATGTAGACATGAATATTTTTATGTGTCAAGCTAATAATAATAATAAGACCACGAAGAGTGTTTTCCCCTTCCCCCGACTCTGGGGCAAGAGAAGTGGAATACCCGAATCATCTTGGCTGGAGAGGATGGGGAAACTAAGGCAGAAAGAGAGCGAACAGAACAACAAGGGTGACACACAGTAAGTGAGCAGCTGGGGCAAACGCCAGGGGTCCAGTGTCCAATGCTCGTCTCAGAACAATGTCTTCTGACTTAGACAGAGTAATTCAAATGCAACAGAGTAAATAACCATCTTCTGTATCTGAAGAGTGGTTTTCCCCATGCTTTCTACACCTCCGTTATAATCTCGGCAATCCCTGACATTCCCAAAATATGTTCCAGTCTCAAGAGTCCCCACACAGATCTCCTCTTGCCTGCTCATCCCAACAGGTTAAAAAAAATAAAAAATAAATAAATAAAAAAACAGCGAGATGAGAAGAGTAGAGATTCCCCTCATTTCACAGGTGAGGAAACAGACTTGGAGGAAGGAGGAGTTGTGCCTACGATCACACAGTAAGCAGCCCCATTTTGTCACTGCAGAGTACAGCCCAAGGAACTAGAGTAATTCTGATTTGAGAGGAGCTGTGGTTTAGATTTCCCCCTCTCTCCAATTAACTCAGCCCAGCAGGCACCCTACTTGCTGGCAAAGGATGAAGCCTGGAAGTGAACAATTTGAATGAAGCCTCAGCGTTGTTTTCCGGTCTGAGGACTAAGGGGCAGCCAGTAGCCATCTAGTGTCAGAATCAAGATTCCAAATCTCCTTGGTCCCTTTTAGGGGATGGGAGGGCACTGTGGAAGTAGGAGCCAGCGAGTGCTGAACTGGGTTCACCTCAGGCCCTTTCTCTACAAAACCAGGAAGTTTGGGCGGGATAGTCATTTAGCTGCCTTTCCCAGGATGTTGAGGTGGGCTGCAAGTCTGAACTGAGTGCCTGTGAGCTGTAGAGAGGACTTCTGAGTGGTTTCCTAAGTCGACGCTTGGTACCTGGACATGGAGGAAGGGTCAGGACCGGAAGGATCCCTGTGGTCCTAACACTTGTCCCCACTCCCTGACTACTCCTTGCTCACACATCACTAAGGATCTCTGACCCCATCTTGCCGCGTTAGCGAGATCAAAGCTATGGATCTGGGGTCCAACAGAGTTTGGCAGAGGTGAGGAGCTGACTGAGAAGAAATCAGAGCTGCAATGGAGTGGGTCGGGGTGAGTGTCAGGACAGGAGCAGGACGAGCTAGAAAGGCCACAGCAGATCTGGGGCGGCATCCCACTCCCAGGACTCAAGCTTCCTTCACCTGCTCTTTTCCTACCTCCAGACCTGACCGAGTTGCAGGAGGTGAACGAGGGTCTGCAGTAGCCAGACGCAGAGGCGGCAGCAGCGGCGGCGGTAGGTGCCGGCCGAGGATGGTGCGGGCCGGGGGACCAGCTCCGGGCTACCTTCTTTGGTCCGGAAGGCGATAGCACTGTCCTTGGTGCTGATGGCGGCTCCGACTATGTCGCTGTCCTTGGTGCTGACGACGGGTCCCGGGGTCCCCGCGGGCTCCGAGTAGTCGTAGACAAACCAGCGGAAGCTGAGCAGCTGCACGACCAGCGAGGGCAGCAGCACGAAGAGCAAGGTGAGGCCGAAGTAGGTGCTCTGACCCTGCAGGTAGTAGGAGGCCGCCAGCCACAGGTCGGTGGCGCCGTCGGAGAAGAACACGAGCAGCGCGCACAGCACCCAGCAGCAGTCCCGCAGCTCGTAGCGTGGCCCCGGGCACCCCACCTCTACCGGTCCCGGGCCCGCGATCCCCGCCGCAGCCTCCCCGCGCCCTCCCTCCCCGCCCCGATCTGCTCCCGCCGGCCCCTCGGGCCCCGGGCCGGCCACGGCCGCCGCTCCATCCGACTTCGCGGCCATGTTGGCGGAGCAGGAGGCGGGGAGCGACTTCCGGGCGGCGGAGCGGGTGGGGTGCGGAGTGGGGAGGACCCTGCGCGGGCGGCTCCCGCCTCCCGCTCTTCCTCCGCCGCTCCTCTTCCTCCTCCCCTCTCCCTCAATTATTCATCCTTGCGGGCGCCGCCCCGCCCGGGCTCCGGCCTGGATGTGGGCCGCCCCCTGGGAAGGGAGGGGGCCCGGTAGGGGAGAGCATCCCAGGTCACCCTCGCATGGCTTCTTCGGAGGCGTGGAGCCCAACCACATGCTTTCTGCCTCTGGCCTCCCCCTTTGATGGCCCCCGCCCTATCCTCTCCTTTTCCATTGATCTCCTGCGGTACCTCCGGTGGTTTGGGTCTTGCAATGTCCCTGGAGGGTGGGAGGCTGGGGTCTGAGAATAAAAAGACAGGGGTGGGGGCAGCTGCTTGGGCACCTGCCATAACCCGTTAGCAGTCACTCCTTCCAACGCCACTTCCTAGTTCCCCCGTGTTCACTTATTGTTTCATCCCCTCCTTTGATCTTGAGAGATCTCTTGTCTCATTGTCTTTTTCAAGCTGAGAAACTGCAGTTCTGAGTTGCGGTCTCTTGCTCACCCTTCTTTCAGGAACCGCGTTCATCTGGCCACTAGCCGGATTAGGGAAGGCAGAGGAAAGGGATGGGAGGGAACCCCTTGGGGAGGAAAGAGCAAGTGCAAACAGCTACTCCTACCATCACTGGAGGCCACGTTTTCTGGGATGTCCTGTTGGGGGTGGGGGTGCAGAACGATAGAACTGGCGATTTCTGATAGATAGGACCCTGAGGGGCCAGAAGCTGGCAACGGGGGCAACTGCTGCAAAATGTAAGCTGAAGAGTTAGGTGACTAGGTCAGGGTTTAGCAAGAAGCCTGGGCAGCCAAAGTGGAGCAGGGATCACAAAGCAACAGCCTGGAACTGGAGAGACCAGAGGGACGGTATAAACACAGGCCATAGGAGGAGGTAGGGGTCTCTCATGTGCCTGAGTACTCACACCCAACTACACACGTTGGCTTGAATGGGATATCCTAGGACACTGAACCGTTTCTTTCATTTTTCTAAGCAATGAGGAATCACTAATCATTTTAGTCCCAATTTATAGGGTCTATATTGTTCTGCCCATTTTATTGACGAGGAAACAGAGTCAAAGAAATACATTTAGTGGCTTAAAATCACATAGGAAGTGTTAGAAATGAATTCAAATGTGGATCTTGAATAGGCTTTGGAAGCTCAAGGGAATGAGGAACAGGGAGGAGGGGAGGAAGTGAGGTGGAAGGACCACCCTGCCTCAGAGTGACAGGGAAGATGGAGGAGACAGCTGCCCTGGGCTGGGTGGAGCAGCCATCTGCTGTCCTGCAGCCTGGCTTCCCTTTCATGTCCAGGGACCGTTTTGGTCTCAGTGATGCTTGGGAGGTTGGGGTACCAGCTGTTGCCTAAAGCTAAAAGCAGAGGGGAGGTGTGAAGGGCTAAGGGAGTTTTCCAAGCTGGATCTGAGGCCAGCAGCCCATGTCTAGACTGACAAGAGGTGAGGGGTCTGAGTCAGAAAGACCCATCACTTGTGTTTTGTCTCCTACATAGAAACCAGTCTAATATATAGAACCTTAGGTGGGGTCAGAAGAGTCTGTCTGGCTCCTGCCACCCTATTGCTTGTCCTTAGTGATCTGTATCACTGCCTTCATAGGTGCTTGGGACTGGCAAACATAGGATCCCACTTTGGGTCCTACCCAAATGGAAGCCTTCATATATCCCATAAACAGTTTGATCAGTCCAGTAGCAGAAATCAGGTTTGCACAGTCTGATACTCTGATGCCAGAAAATCTGTGTTGAACACCCATAATCCTTGCATGATTCCACAGCTTTGGGTAAACCACTCAGTTTTTCTTGGCTTCATAGAACAACAAAATAGAGGATACTCCATGCCTTCCTGCTAGGACAACAGTGAGGACAATTATTAATGGGACTTTTAAGAGGGTCTTCCCACAGAAGCCCTCTGACCCTCAGGAATGTCTCCCTAATACTCCAGTTATTACTACCACAGCACCCTGGCCTCTCCCTTCTTCACATTGACACACCAGCAAGCAGTTTATTTTCTCTTATGTGTCTGTTTAGAGATGCCTGGGATCTTCCTGAGGGAAATTCACCTACTTTTCCTCATCCTGAGACTTTCTAGTGCTCTGTGCTAAGTCTGGTACTTAGTTGGTAGCCTATGAAAATATGAAGATAGCCTTATATAACTCTAGATAATAATATTTTAAAATAAAGAAAATAAAAGCTGGACAGCGGTGAGGCACGCCTCTAATCCCAGCACTTGGGAGGCAGAAGGAGAGAGATCTCTATGAGTTTGTGACCAGCCTGGTCTACAGAGCAAATTTTAGGACAACCAAGGCTGCAGGAGAAACCCTGCTTCAAACAACAACAACAACAACAACAACAACGAAAAACAAAGATAAAAAATAAGGAAAAAAAACCCAACCAAACATCATCCAATGAGACCCAGGCACTGCGTCAAGCACCTGTGATCCTGGCACTCGGGGTAAGGGGTAGGGGTGAAAGCAAGAGAATTGTTGTGAATCCAAAGGCTATTCTGGGGTTCATAGTGAGCAGCAGACCAGTCTGAGCTACATAGCATGACCCTGTGTCAAAAACAAACAAACAAACAAACAAACAAACAGTTTAAAGCCCCCTCCAGAACATTGGACAACTTAATTAATGAGTGAGTGATGAACTCAGAGACCCAGTGACCATTTTCTCCCCAATTATAAAGGTGACTTACTCACAGAAGCAATGGCTTGTGAGGCAATGGCTTGTAAACCAGCAGTGGCTTGTGAGCCTCACAGTGTTGGTAGCTCTAAGTAACAACATTGCTACTAGTTGTGACTTACAAACTGGCTACAAACCTTTATTTAAAAACTGAGCCACCAAGAAATGGTGCCTCAGGGCCATTTTTTTTTTTTTTTTTTTTAGGAAGTATCAACTTTGGCACTCAAGAGCCCTGTATGGTTTCAGCAACTAGACTAGATGAAATGACACAGAGGAAAAAATTTCTGGGAGATCTGAAGCATGGGTCTGGTGTGGAGTTAACCTACCTATCAAGGATGCTGTAGAGGGGATTCTGTCTGTCAGGCAGGTTTATACTGCTGTGTTTATACTGTGTTCAGATAGCAGCATGGTGAGTTTCAGAACCCAGAGACAAGATACTATGTTTCAGAGGCATCTGGGTGGGGCCGGGGAGAGCTTGGGCAAAGACTACACAGTGGGGCTGATCTAAGTACAATCAACTGGGCTGAGTCTGGCTGGTGTGGAGGAAGATGGACCACAGCTGGTCAGAGCTGGATAGGCCCTTTGACAGCTCACCGGCTTCCCTAGGCCTCTCTCACTTCACAGATGGAAACTCTGGGGCCCAGAGAGATAACCTAAGTTAGCCAGCAGCAAAAGTAAATCTGGAGCCTCCCCCTAGCCTCCAGAGACATGATAGTCCCTAAGCTATGTGGGGAGTTGCTCTTAGGAATCATCCTTGCCACCTTTCCTTATTTGGCCTTGGATGCCACAAAATAAATAAATTGTAATAAATATATTTTTTTAAAAAAAGAAACTTTGCCGGGCAGTGGTGGCACATGCCTTTAATCCCAGCACTTGAGAGGTAGAAGCAGGTGGATTTCTGAGTTCAAAGCCAGCCTGGTCTACAGAGTGAGTTCCAGGACAGCCAGGGCTATACAGAGAAACCCTGTCTCCAAAAACCAAAAACCAAAACCAAAAACAAAAAAGAAAGAAAGAAAGAGAAAAAAGAAAGAAACTTTGGAATTACATAATAAGGATTGCGTAAGAGGACACTGGGAATCGGGCATAAGGATGGAAGAGGAAATTCATTATTTGTTGTGTATATATTTTTGCAGTCATGTGAATGTATTTGCTTATTAATAAAATAAAATTATAATGGGGACAGCTGCTATGTAAATCTGGCCGGATGTTATAACACAGGAATAGGCATCAGTATGGTCAGATTTTCTAGTTATTCAAGAGAACACAGAAACTGCAATTTTACTGTAAAATGTCCTGAATTTTAGACATCAGCTCTAGGTTTCTTCAAACACCTCTCTGCTTAGTAAATTAGCCAGTGGGGCAGATGTGGCCAATCTTCTGCCTCAGCCCTGATGACTTCCTGCCCCTGGCCTGGAGCACTCAGCATTCCAGGTTTTTCCTCTTATGTGGGCAGCTGCAGGATGAAAATTGGCTCCTCCTGCCTCTCTTTTGACACCCTTCAATCCCTGCCCCTTGGGGCTGTGACGCTAAGGGCTTTTAACTCAAGCTCTAGAAGGCAGAGAGAGACTGTGAACTCTCAGATAATTCTCTCCCCTGGGATGCTGTAGACATCAAGGCCCACTTGCCTCCTGCTGTATACCCATCTGTCCCTTAGAAGTGGGGACAGGAGTGAGGCTGGCAGGGGATGGAAAGGGCTCACACCACAGGGCTCTGGTCAACCTTGTGCGGATTGGATCCAAGAGGGGGAAACCTAAGTGACTGTCAGAAAAGAAGAGCCAGCCATACACAGTTGCTGAATGTTGAGGTAACTCGCCAAATTCCAAATCCTGGGGTAACCAAGTTCCAGTCCCAGAAAGACCCGTAAGGACCGTCTCCTTCAGCACCTTTGGATAGAGGAGGAGACAAATGGCTCCCAGCCCCAGCGCCCATCTCAAGACCTTGTTACATTTTTCCTGGCTGACTGGCTGACCCAGCCTCTTCCCTGAACTCTCTGTACACCTCTTGCATATTCCTGAGGTCCAGTCTCTACCCTGAGCCAGAAAAAGCCCTTAACAGGAAAATGTGATCAGGCCTCGTGTCCACTGAGTGCCTTCCGACTCTTCCCTAAGTCATCGGGGCCAGACCTCAGCCTTGTGAACATCTCTGCCCTGTTCATCTCTCCTCTTCCTCATCGGCTTCATCTCTTACCGTCTTCTCCTTATTCCCCCTGTTCCAGCCACACAGGCTGCTTGCTGTTCAATTACTTCATCTCAATCCTTTTTTTATTTAGGGCTGAATATTGAACACAAGCCTCATGCATGCTGGGTTAGGTACCCCTGAGCCATTCCTGCGTTACTGGTTCTTAACAAGCCTGTCTTCCCTCTTTCCTGGGCTTTTGTTA